GGGGGGGGGGGGATGTCAAGGTTTCGATTTGATTCGCGCATTATATTTATGCTGTTTTTCATATAAAGTCTGCATGGGTAATATTCAAACTAGGTCACTCACTTAATTAAACAGGCAGAAAATGTTATTTGAATGTACAATAAACCCTCTATATATGTCAGGGGGGAGTTATTAGAGCTAGGGGGGGGGAGTAATGGAGAGGGGGTTAGTTATTTGAATAAGACGCAGTAAATTAACGTGAATTCCGAGACAAATGAACCAATCCCCAATTAACCAAAATTTTGATCTCAACAAGTCTAAACAAAATTTCATCACAGCTTGAAAGAGCATCACAAAATTAGTAATATTCCAAAGTTTCGTTGCGAAATGTTAGCTTTGCGAAATTTGCATGCAATTTTCAGTCATTTTGTATTTAATACGAGCGTGATACGTACTTTTCCAAAATTTTGATCTTAACTAGCCTAAACAAAAATTTCATCACAGCTTGAAAGAGCATCACAAAATTAGTAATATTGCAAAGTTTCGTTGCGAAATGTTATGACAATGCGGATAATATAGCCTTGCGAAGTTTGTAATTTTCAGTCCTTTTGTATTACGCACAGAAGTGGTAACTATTTCCCGTGCGTAATACAAAATGACTGAAAAACGGCAAACTTCGCAAGGCTATATTATCCGCATTTTACAACATTTCTCGACGAAACTCTGGATTATTACTAATTTTGTGATGCTCTTTGAAGCTGTAATGAAATTTTTGTCTAGACTTGTTAAGTTCAAAATTTTGGTTAATTGGGGATTGGTCCATTGATAAACCTAATCAATACTACACTGGGAAAAAATGTGAAATCCATACTATGAAATTTACAATGGCACCACTAAACAGGGCATTTTTTAACTATATAACTGGGGGGGCCAAAGCCCCCCCCCAGCCCCCATGGTGGCCCCCCCACTCAACCATTTTGGCCCCCCCAGTCAAAGTCCCTTTTCTCTAAAATATAAGCAAAACATGAAATTTAGAAGGGAGGTTTGATATTCTAGTAACTGAAATTTGCTTTGTGAATCTTATGTCCTGTCTTTTATGTTTAATAAATACCTTATTAGATTTTAAACATTTCTCAGGCAGTGGATTGCATTTCACAGACCCTATAGATTTGAGTTGTTGGACAAGTTAGTGACCGCAGGGGGCAACAGGCCCTCAACCAAGTGTTTTATAAGGGGGGGGGGATAATTTTGGCCCCCACCAAAAAAAAAACAATTTGATTTCGAAACTAGAAGTATTTGAAATCATATATACATATAATCAAATATCTGTAATCGATATTTTGATAACATTTCTCGTAATAATCCATCCTGACTCGTGGATATCATAGACTCACAAATCATAATGAACGAATTAATGAAAGGGCCTAACAAAAGACGTATAGAAGACTTTGAAAATGCCATTTCCGACGATTTAGAGACGCAAAATTTTCAAAATTTTTCCGCTCTGTGCCAACCATGGTGGCGCTTCGTGGGAGTCGGGAACTCTAAGTTTATCAAGCTGGCTCCCTAAGTGACGGCCAAGTTGTGGTATCTACATAAACATACTATGCAAGTACTTAACTGAAGGTTCAGTCTATATCTACAGCATAATGTAATGCTGTATATCCAAAAATCTGTTTTAGAAAATGCAGGGAATTGCAGTCATAGGGGTAGAAAAATACAAACATTTTCTGGGAGAGAAAACCCCAGACCTCTCCAGGGCCGAAGCAACCGCGGGGGGGGGGGAGGGCTGGGGGGCTGCAGCCCCCCCCCCAACAATTTGCTAATAATCATTCATTTTTCAAAATCATGCAGACCTTTATCATTTAATCCATGACAAACTTCAAAGAATGAAGATATTACCCATACTTTCCTGCAACTTATCCAAAATATCGTTAATTAAATACACTTTCGCCCATTTAGTACTACTGAACTCTAAATTTCCACATACTAAAAACGCTGTTTTTTGACAATCAGAAATCTGTCAAATCTTCCCCAAAGTCCAGGAAATGGCATTTCAGAGACTCTAAATTTAAAAATTTCCTCGGGCCTTCGGCCCTCGCTTTCAGTGCCCCCAAACGAAAGAAGCTTCCTACGGCCCTGCCCCCCCCACACTACTATTAAATGCGATACCACACCAAACGTTTTGTTACCAACAAACCATCTATCATTGCTCCACACTCTGTATAGTATGGTCCCTTTTTGTAGATGGCCCCCCCACTGACGAATTCTTAAAAAATGCCCTGCCACTAAATCCATAGTATATCCATCCTATTTTCAGTATTTCGATACTATATCCATACTATGGAAATATACAATTATTATGGATCATCAAAATCCATTCTATTTCCAATAAAGTTCCATACAATTTCTATTCTGACCTTATATGGATTTTCAAAATTTTTTTCCAGTGGTATACACTGGTGTTTCTTTGCTGTGAATGAGAGGCGCTTAATAGAGTATTCACGGTAAAATCAACAAAATATTCTGTTGAAGTTCACGGAGATGGTTTTTGCAGAAAAATGACACGATTTTCACTAACCAAAGCAACTGCACCATTTGTGTTGCAGACAAGACTGATAACCCGTGTTGGTATACTTTCTGGAAAGTTTGTATCATACAGCAAATATGAGCACTCACTTTCAGCAGTTTGACCGGACAAATATTCTATCCATATCTTCTCATCATCACCATATGGAGACCCCTTTAACTTAACACGACCAATGATGTTCTCGGTGACTTGGTTGTAAACCATTGTGCCAGAGAAAAACGTGTTACCTTCACTTGGACGAAATTTAACAGTCCTTTGTAACTCTCCGTCTTCTGTGTAGATATGAAGCATGTATGATTCTGAATCGTCAATTTTGCATGTTACGAGTATTATTTTATTATCGAAAGAAACGGACACGAATTCTATGTAATGTTTACTATTACCCCAGCTGCTTCTTGACTTCAGACCTATGTCAAAGCTGTTCATCAGTTTTCCGTCGCTGTTACATAAATATACCATGATATTCGACGTCTCATTATTTACACAACTAATAACAATCTTTTTATCTTTGGTCACAGTAATAGGAATGTTAACAGAGCTTTTTCCTTCCAAGAATTTCAAACTACAATGATGCATATTTCTTTCATCTGCACTGTACACTGACAACGTATAGCCAAGGGTATAGTTAGGCGAGTAGTCTTCCGAAAGAACATACATTGTGTCGTCTTCATCGAAAGCTAAATCCATGGCTATACCCCGGGGCTGAGGATGTTCAGTGTTGTCTTCCAAAGGAGGACGACGGTACGGCTGCAGCTTACCTGTTGTTATGTCGAGTTTTTGAGGACCATGTCTGTCATCGGGGAAACAAATAAGATCTCCTTTTCTGGTTAATGCAGCCAGCCAATGCATTGACCTGGCCGAGATTGCCTCTTTTAGCACTACAATGTCCCAGGGTGGTGTTATTTCCATTTCTTTCAGATTTGGTAATCTCGTTTGGTCGTAATGAATCGGATGGACAATTCGCTTGCCACATTTTATCATTGGCCAATCAAAAACAGCCATTCTTCGCTTTGTAAACTTCGAGATAAAATCAGCCAAGATCAAATTGATCATCGTTACAGTTTCCACGACTTCCACTCGTGACTCTTTGTTGAAGACTGATTTTATTCCACCTTTAAGATGCACGGAAAATATTTCTTGTATGGATGGCATGTCATTTAATTCTCTCAAGCTGTTTAAACAGTCACTTGCCGCGACTTCTGGGTCGTCCAAATGCTGAAGTATTGCGCTCGCGATGCGAACTTTACTCGCAAGGATTCTTTCGTCTGTGCTCAGTGCTGTGTTATGAAATGCTTCGCTTGCTTTTTCTGCTGCTTTTTCGAAAGATTTTTTAGCCAACTCGAATCGTTCATTTGATACGATCTTCAGATTCCCAATGGCATTGGCAAGTGTAACTGCGTCTTCCACGGCAGTCACTGACTGTTGAGCTGGCTTCGTCTCGTCAGGACTTCCCTTAGCA